TAGTAAATTAATATATTCTGATGGAGGAATACAAGATGTTTGGTGATCAGTAATACCAACTATGAAACTAAAAATCTTTCTGATTAGGAGACTTTATTATTTATTAGAAACATGTGAAACACTGTTCCGGTTACTATGATCAGTGGTTTGGATTCTATCTGGTAGATTACAAAGGGCGATATCATAGAGCCAGATGATGCATTGGTACGGAAGGTTTGATCCCATACAAAGCTATCTTGTCTGAATAACAAGGGGAAGACAAAATAGATCCATCTGCGCCACTGAACGATTCTGAGATAAGTTACTCAAAGTCTCCAACTACTTAGTTCGCTCAGAGCTTCAGTTGATGACTTGATTTCCCGATAGACCGTAAGGCTTGACTCGACCAATAGTGTCTGAGTGAAGAGCCTGGATAAAGTTCATGTACTTTGTCGGCACCTTTTTCGATGAAAAACATTGCGCAGAACCTCTCCGTTACTAGACTTAGATGGCGTCTTATGATCAAGAGATACAACTGAATTAGCGCATCGACAAATATGCCAGTCCTAAAACTTTAAGGGGGGGATTGGTAGATATTTGGTCTACACACTGAAGTCCAAGAATCAAACTAGCCTGATCTTCACGGGTTTGTAATTCATGAACCCTAGATAAGCGTTAAAACTCTTAGTATATTATTCACACTAACCTACCAGTGGCTGTTGCAAAATGGTATTTATACTTTCTTTTGGACTGGGACTATCAAGACCAATCATATGAGATTATGCCCAGTTCCAAGAGTCTAGTTAGTATCTTAGTCAAATTAACCGCCAAAACTAGACCAATAACCTCGAAGATCAACGGCATTAATCCACTAAAGCCTAATGCAGTCCCTAGCTTTAGATTACCCATAGCCTTTCTAACCTCATTAAGAGTTGGGAAACTAGTATCAAATTATCAATAGGGTTGACTGAAGATAAAGAGTTAATGAAGGGTAGTTGGACGTCAATTGAGCTGTTCCCTAAAGTACTCTGCTCATCTATCCAATCTGTTAGAAAGTGGATAACAGATCTATCCTTTTTTGAGAGGAACGCACTAAAACCTCTCTACTTAATTCAAGTCAATTACTTCAGTCGACAGAGTCCTTTAGTATTATTTATTACCGCTAATTTTTCTCTTTTTTTAATTTTCGTTGACTATCACTGCTAACAATCATTGTATAAACTATTTGGTAGTTTACATTCGAGTTGTCGTCATCGTCAGGCACCAGCCGATCATCTACACGCTTCTCTACCTACAAGGCGACTTCTTCAGCTACCCTGCCTTAGTGTAACTTTATTTGGTAAAGTAGCATATGAATTCCTCAGGTCATCTTCGGATAGACATTACGCATCCTCATGCCCTTCGTTGGGTGAAAAAGGCAGGAATCCGAACCTCTTTCCCATCCGCTTGCTTCATTAACGCAGTGGTTACATTTTAAGGCATTTTTTCACTCATTAAAATGAATGATAAACGTTGTTTTGATCAGTTATTAGTCCTACATTTTATCAGGGTACCTGATCGATACTCATTCTTGTATTTCTAGCCAATACCAGGTGAATTACAAAATATGATTTTTAATGACACCGAAATGAAACAAATCTACAGTATGATTGGAAGAAGATACTTGGCAAACTTTATTGTAAGTTTAAATCTATGCTATATGCAGTTGATCAACGTAACAGGATAGAAACGGTTTTAGAGATCATTCAATTTCAAGTTATTTTCTGTCAAATGTTGATGAGCTTAAATTGAGATCATGAATGGATCAATGATAGACCATCATTGAAAACCTGGAAGCACGAGACAGCCATTTCGTCCTAGTATAACACTCTCAGGAAGTGCGCACCCACGCTCCTGTACGTGGAATTCCAAATCAAGATCCTTGGACTCGCACGTGAAGACTTAACCTCTAGATCACTGAACCGACATCAAACGGTGTAAATATTTAACTTCAATCAAGCCATAATATTGCGCGTCCGTCCTCCGTTGTCTTCAGTGTGTAAATGTTTCCCATCAGACACTTTTGAATTCCGCTGGTCTTGTCTTCCGTAAACTGATAAAATGTTGATGAAACAGATACCTGATACTCTAGACAATTTGCCAAGCCCTCATGGATCATTCTAGATCCCTGAAATACCGACTTATTCATTCTCTCAATGTCACATTTTAAATTTGTTTGTTATTTCTTTATTGACCCTGATCGGTTTTATATGAGCATACATGTGTGCCATTTCGTTTCACTTCCTATTCTGAGTGATTGCTTGGATAAATGTGAGCTTAAAATAGATTCACGCAACAAAACCCGTATTTGGCTTCTTATTACGCATGTTACAAAAAACGGAGTTAGCCTAGGTAATGGAAGATTTATGTTCACAGAATATTCATATCACCAAATCGAAAATCACGGCAGCACAAATTGACACTATAATGGGATTTTATTTATTTATTATTTATTTTAACACATAAATATTGGTACAAAGAGGCACCTAATACATATGCGCCACACATATATCTCTTGATATGTGTAAGGGATGTGATACTGCCCAGGTGCCCAAACCGAACCAGGTGGTTTGCTTAGGGGGCCACACCCCGAGCCTTCGACCTGAAGATCTGATCCATAAGGCAGTGGAGCATCGTAAGGAGATGCAGTCACATGGTAGCCGGTGACTAACAATTGGTTCATACGCCATTTGTTCCCGAAGGATACTGGAGCTAGCCCATGTGCACCATTGGTTTGCGATCCGATTAAAGCCGGTGCCAGACATTCGCTTTTCGTCCTCTCATTTTCGTAAACAACACCTGTGGCTCGAGAAGGCAGTGAGTAGGACTTCCCTGGCAGAGGTTGTATACGCGTGGCCATGTGAGAGCATTTTGAGAGGGACAGCGCACTCTATCCACTCTTGACCGTACCAGGGCATTTGAGGGGATATTTATTCAATATCACCAGAAAGAACTTTCTCACTCTCAAAACAAGTTTCTTAATAGACGTTTTGAAAATTCATCTCAAAGTTGATCAGTAATGAAGACTAACATAGCGAGACTATAATTTATGAACGAACCAACCAAATATAAGATAACAGGTGTTGAAAACTATAAATCTATTTTCCAACCGTAACCATCAACTACAATTCATAATTCTAATTGCTTAAACTGGTTTATAACCCTCATTTAGTCTCAACTAGTAGGTGGACATTCTCTCTAGGTTACTTGAACATCTTTCAAAGGTCGTCCATAAATTATAGTCTCATGGATAAGACTAGTGAATTATAACAAAATATTTGGTAATGTATAGATTTATTTAAGTCAAAGAATCAAGTCAAGATTAGAATACCAGACAATAATGTAAATCAAATTATCCATTCAATTAACAAGTCAACAATGTTGACTTCTATTTCCATCATACTGATGGTCTTTTAAACATTCTACATAAGTTTACGAACAATCATTTAAGTAAAATTAATCAGTTGAATTTTCTGTATTAATTTTCTTTTTGTATAATTCAGGCGAAATGTAAACGTTGGCTTCAGGATTATGGTAGAGCAATATTGGCTTTATAAACTGTACAACAGTATATCATATATCTCAGTATTATGTAATATGAAATAAAGCCAGAGAACACAAATACTTTAAAAAGCTACATAACAATTCTTAATATATTTTGACTAAAAATATACAGATCATTGTAGTTGACTTCAAGTTATACTTTTTATGTAGACTTAATCCTTAAAGAATATCAAGTCTCGATGAACAGGTTACCAGTTTAAACTCTATTCTACCTAGTATAGTTTAGGCATCAGCCAGTCAGTCAGTAACAACGTGGAACTTCGTACGTACGTACATCAGTTCAAGTTGCCATACCACATTAGCACAGAGATATAATTATCGATTCAAATCCCGTAGTGGTAGAGGTAGTGAAAGGATAAGTAGTGACGGGGAACATTAAGGTTTGATGATGTTATTTAAGGAGTATAGTCCAGTAGAATAGATTTAGAAAAATAAAAGACATGAAGAATACATAAGATTAGAGTTTGAGAGAACACAGAGAGTGGATGCACCTGTGCCATTGCAAACAATTTCCAATCATGTCATTGAAGGTCTCTAACCATCGGTTGCTATCATCTCACGGTCGCCAACCAGGTAGTCTACACCTATCAACATGGCTCAGTTCACTTGTCAGTTTAGGCATCTCTCTATAGTGATAATATCACCAAGTTTTATGTAAATACTATGATTGAATAAATCAGTTAGTCATAGGTAATACAGAACCCAGTACATATATATGTTAGTTCAAGGTGTATTATCATCATACGAAGAAAAATGATCAAGACAACTTTCAGAGAAGTAGAAATTGTTGTACTAATTAGTGACAGTAAAAAAGATTCCGATTTAATTATTGCAAGCTTTTTCTTTTTAAATGCACTTTTACAAACTGACCATAAAAGAGCATCGAATTCGGTTGTAGTTAGATATATGTAATAAATGTTCCAACCATATTGATCAATAGAGATTCACTGTTTTATCAACTGACTTGTACATTTTAAGCTTAAACTCAACATTAATCTATCTGAATGATCTCTCACGATATCTACTCTATCATCAAAACCTTCCAATCTGTTCATGTTTTCTAATTTAGACGGATGTGTTTCCCAATCATAGAGTAGTTAAAAAGTAGTATATATATATATGTATGATGTATGTAAAGATATGTATTTATAGAAGGGATAATATACTGTTATTGTTCTAGGATAAAATAATGTAAGCTGAAAGTATCAAGAGTCATTTAACAATAATAAATATGATTACTAATTACAAGATAAATAGTTTATCATTTATAAAAGAGGAAAAAAAGAACAAAACAAAACAACAACAACAACAACAAACAGTTGTAGAGGAGAGATAATATATATGGTCTTACTCTTCTATGTTGTTTTCCCCACCCCCTCCCATCAGAATAATCCAACTGAAACAGATTATCTATGTTATCATCTTGATTCATTTAACATTTCTTTTAATTCAACATATAAACGTTGTAAATGCAAATTAAGAGCAAATAAACTTAATAATTCTTTTGCTAATACAATTCTCGATATACCCTATATAGTTAGAGAAATAAAAGAATTAAAAGAGAGAATATAAAAATTATAATAAAAAAAAGTGGTAATATGAATAAGATATTGATATTAGAATAGAATTTTCCATCTTAATTAATTCAATTCATGTTTTACAATACATATAAGATGATGAATTGATCAATGTAAGACTGTCATTGAGAACTTGGAAATATTGAATAGTTTGAACATATCAATATTGGTACAAGAAGGCACCAAATAAATACGCACCACACAGATCTCATTTGATATGTGTGAGGGTTGTGATACTGCCCAGGTGCCCAAATCGAAGCAGGTGGTTTTCTTAGGGGGCCACATCTGGAGCCTTTGACTTAAAGGTCTGATCCATAAGGCAGTGGAACATCGTGAGGAGATGCAGTCCCATGGTAGCCGGTGATCAACAACTAGTTCATACTCCACTTATTCCTTCAAGATACTGGAGCCCATGTGCACCATTGGTTTTGGAATCAGGGTTTGTCAACTCCCCTTGGTGGACTCTCCATATCCATCAACCCGGTTAAAGCGCCGGACATTCGCTCTTCGTCCTCTCAGTTTTGTAAACAACACCCCCACCACGACGAGGCAGTGAGTAGGACTTTTGTGGCAGAGGCTGTATACGCGTGGTCGTGTGAGAGCATTTCGAAAGAGAGGGAGGGCCCTCCCCACTCTCGGCCGTACCAGGGCATTCGAGGGCTCGTCCTAGTATAGAACTACTCAATGATGCACGTGACTGGTTGTAAATGTGCACTGTTAGGGAGACTCATACTAGGTTTTCAATGGTGATCTTACATGGATTGATTCACCGTCTCACGTATTTATTGTTGTAAGTTGAATGTTTTAAAATTATTGAATTATCGCTTCATACATTAACTTGAAGCAAATCACATTGCTTGTTATTCTCTATTCCTTTGTACAATCCATTATATTTTACCTTTACAAATATATAAACTGGATTGTTATTTTACCGTTATATGATAAACGAATCATTGGCTGGTACATGGATTTGCTATCGAAATCATACATTTCTTTAATATAAAGGCTAGTGATGTTAGAACTTGAGTGCTTAAACCAATATGAGTAAAGGAGAGTATGGATGGGTAAATCAACAGTTGAAAATAGAGCATTTGAATGAATGAACCATCGTTTAACGAATCATCAAAACAAAGGTGGAATTATTTACACTTACTGGATCACTTAAGGGATAGTTAAGTTTTAAGAGGAATAATAATCATGCGCTTAGCAATACATAAGATGGTAATGCATCCCTGTAAACTATATATCCTTGTTGCTTGGATTTGAAAGTTAGGTTTTCTTCATGCTGTGATTCAGTAACCGAATTTCTTTAGGTGTAAATACATTTATTGTGGCTAGGACCTGGTAATTAGTGAGTTCTACTAACTAACGGGAATGTAGTAGTTACATAAAATCGAATTGAAAAAATTATATAACCTGGAAAAGTTATATAATACAGAAATAAGGTGTGTCACTAGCTCACCGAGGAGACCATCAAGAACATAAAAGAAACTCAATGTCTCGTACAGACTTCCAGTCTCAGAATTAGACTGAATTATATTGTTGACTGTGGTACTAAATAATGCGAGTTCAGATTTCTAAGGGAGGACCAGTTCTTTGAAAGAAATATCAACATAACAAGTAAAGACGTCAGAAAACCCTAGAATACTCACCTTTACTTCAGACTGCCAAGTAGAATGTAGTTTGGTAGTTACAGGCACAGGACCAATGAGATCTTGAATTATTTGACGAACACGTTCTTCTTCATCTACAATTTAAGCGAAAACATTCCACTGAGCGTTTTACATAAAATCAAATTGATTACATTTTTCATATTTCAAAAATATGATAAGTATTTCTACTCAGATCAAATCGATACCCACTCGATTCAACAAAGTCTACTTCGAACTTTGAATCTGTTCAACCATAGTGAAAAGATTGACAATCCAAATGATCATGATAAATGACAACCTCTAACAGATTACTATCTATCTATGATGATGGTACTGGCTATCGGAACTCACGTAATATCATAAAAAGTGAGTAATGTTGAATAATCAACAAGGGAATGTCGATGTTATGAACGTTAGTTACAATTACTGTTTAAGTACATCAGAATCATATTATCATCACAACAGTCTAGGGTTTATCAAGATTAATGATGTTTAAAAAACAGGCATAAATAATAAGGCGATTATAGTTAGACATACAAGGATTGACTGAAAATCGTGATCAGATAAAGAAATTGATTCTGGAAACTGTTAATCAGTCACCTAACGAAAAGAATAGTGGAAATGATTGAGGTCAAATGAATAGATACACTTATTTACTGTGTCTGAAACATGAAACAAGGCTAGTATTCAAAATACTGGCTTGAGGTAGTAAAGTATTATGACAAACTTGATAAGATGTTGACACTACGCCTTCAGTAAGTTGAGGTATAACATTTTATAGACTGGAATTTCCAATTTCAAAAAAGTAACCGGTAGATAACACGTTGATAGCACAAAATGATGAATACTGAAAGAGTGATTACATCAAGAACATATGTTCTACATGAGATGTATATATAGATAGTTGATCAATCATGAGTATAATATACGTCCAAAAACAAGTGATAACTCACTATCTTCAATGAGTTGACGGAACCAACGAGTTAGCCAATAGCGATATTCATTGGAAGATCCAAACGATAGCGCTAATTGAGTCTGAGATTCAAGGAAATTTTGATTTGAAACTTTTCGACAAGAAGCCGAACTAATTAAGAATGTTAACAAATAAAATAAAAACAAAAAAAGAAACATCATTAGTTGCTTAAAGCAACGGAAAAACTTAAAATATATCACAGTTATTCGGAATCGTTAAATCAAAGAATGTTGTCATAACTATTATTATTGTCACCAGGGTGGTGGAGATTACTAAGTTTTTGATTGAAATCGTGAACCCAAATGTTAGACCAACATTGAAAAACGGGAAGCACTGGACGGCCAACTCGTTCTATTGAGGGACTTTTCAGCAGTGAGCATCCACGATCCCACTCGTGGGATTCGAACCCGGGGCATTCAGTCTCGCACGCGAACGCTTAACCTCTAGAACACTGGGCCGGCATACAACGATGTTAATGTCTAACATCAACCAATTCACGAAATTGCGCGACCATCTTCCATTGTACTGAGGCAGATACCTACCTCTACCTGACATGGATTAGTTCCACTGGTCACGGCTTCTCACTAGAAGTCCGAGGATCACCTCACGAAGCTAGTCACTGGTGAGCACATGGTAATTATCAGTATAGGGTTGTAGAGATTTGGTTCACGATCTCAATCGAAAACTATTATTATTGATTTATTTGTGATGTGAAGTAAAATCTATCAGTCATAAGCAATATATAAGCTCTGATATAAACATATGTACGGATCCTATTTACCATACTCTATCAGCAAACCAAGACAAAGTCAACAAGATGCACAGTAAAAAAAGCCAAATTAATGATGTAAATAGTTGTGAAAAGGGTTAAACTTAAAAAGTATGTGACTCATAAATAAGGGACAAATGGTATAGTATACAGTTTAAACTCAGTAACAACAGGTCTCCTCAAACCATTTATCATGAGTATATAGAAGGTTTCAAACGGAAAGTCATAATCATTCGATATGGTTCAGTTAAACGGTGAATAACTTGACGGTTCCGTCACCATTAGCTGTCATCCAATTCACATACATCTACACCAGTCATAGAATGTAATTAATGTAGTGAAGAGATTTATTCTTTATTTCTTGAGCTTAGGTAGTTAGCAGCTGGTTAATACAAAAAAAGACATATTACTGTAGGTCAGAAGTTTAAAAATGAATACCAAAGATTAAACAGTCAATTTACGTCCGATGTTACACTGATATAACTTAGACATTAGAACGTTGAAGTTCATTGATTGAAAGTGGGTTTTTTTTCAGTAGTTACTTGAGTGTATACGACCACTTCTCACATGATCCATGAAATTCGTCTTAAAATCAAAGTCATTATACAAGTAACTACCAAGATGATAAAGCTCAAATGAAATGATTTGAACAACACTAAAGAAAAAATAAACTGTGATACTACTAAAGAGACACAGTCAACTAGCGAATACATACATGACGTTTGAATTTGAACTACTGAAAGAATTTGACTTTTGTACATTAGTGGCCACTTTATTAAGTTGTTGACAGGCAGATAATGGACCAGGAGGACAACCACGAGCAGAATTCATAGCGAATTGACAACGTACAACATCAGATGCATCAAACAATTCAATCCTACAAGTTTATTCCAGAAAAAAAAAGACGTAATAATAAATTAAAGAAAACTTATATCAATGTTATCGTTTCAACTGGAGCCATGGTTTAGCTATTAAAGAAATCGGATTTCAACCAGGAGATCTAAAACTTCGAACCCTCTTTTGGTAATCATTCAGCAGTAATAATAGCCTTCACAAAAACACTGTAGCTTATAGGTGAGTAAACAAACTGGTGAACGCTAAATAAGGTACATATACGAACTAACAGTATCCAGATTAATGATACAATATCTTTACAAATTGATGTATGAAGATCTACAACTGATGGAGTTTTAGATCTTTAAGTAATTCTATCGATAAAAAGTTACTACTAGAAACAACTCAGTACTACAGGAAATCAATCATAGCCCAAATAGCCCAGCGGTTACGTCTCAGGCTGTGAATCTTGGTGATATGAGGTAGAATCCACCAGGGAGCGTCAATTCCATCAAGATAACAGGCACACCTTGTTAACAAGCGCCAAGTAGTACGAAAACTAAGTCCATGGTTTCCTGTCAACTACCTTTAATCACCAACCTACATCCAAACATAGTGCACGTGATATCAAATTACTTAGACTAATCAGAACAGAATTCGATCAGCACAAAGAACGACTTGATATACATGACATTGATTGTTACTCAGTGATTAATCAACTGTAACTACTACAAACCACATAAACATAAAATCATACCATACATAAAAACAGCTTGGAAACTATCACTAGAATTTTGAAACCTTTCGTAATCAATGTTACGAATAAACTAAAAAAATGATTTCATTCCATTTTATGCAGAGTAATGGGTGAAACATCAAAGGCAGGCAAATTCGACTGTGATCAAATGCAATATCGTACAAAGTGGATATCCCATCCATAGATAAACCGATAAACATAGATTAGCAGTTAAAAGAAACAATGTGCTTTCATTTATATGAATAAATACAAACAACTACGAACAGTAGTGGTACTCGGAAAACTTTTTAATTACGGATTGAGTGAACTCTAAAAATGTTAAACTATCTCTGGAAGACAGATACTGAATTCAATCTGAGAACAATGGACAATCTGACAAAGATCTAATCTACCAATGTATGTCGAGAAATTCAATCAATTACACAATCAGACAAAATAATCAACTGGATTACAAAGGTTATCAAAACGAACTTACCCAGTACTTGTGGAAAGTATTTTAGTGGCATAGTTCTATACAAATAGACATTGACGTTATTGTTTATAACAACATTGAACGCATCATAATGAAACCAGAAAGTCTATGAAAACTAACAACCAGGGAAGCTAATTTATAAATGACGACTTATATTACTTACTGAAATACAACAAGGAATCAGATGTGGCGGCAGAGTGATGACAGTTACTGCATTTTTAGGACTGGCGTTATCTATAATCCAATCACTCTTGATGGCGAAACTCTGGAAGATGTGGAATCCTTCACATGCCTGGGAAGCATCGTCGATAAAAAAGGAGGTTCAGATGCAAACGTAAAGGCGGATTACTTTAGTAAAACATACATTTCATTATAGATCGCAAGTGTTGAATACCACACATTTACTGAACATTCAAAACGTTGTGAATAACCTCAACCATTTTCTAAATTTAAATAAAACTGATTAGCCGATAAGTCTCTCAAATGTTTATTCCTTCTTGTACTTGTTAGATAATCAAACTCATACAGTCAAACAGACAGCTATAACGTACGATCAGGCACATATATGCATTGGTTCAAGTTGACATACCGTATTACCACAGCAAGATGAACACTGGATCCATAAACGTGGTTACTTCAATAGTGGTAATATATATATATATATATATATATATATATATATATATATATATATATATATTACTTACGCCTGTTACTCCTCGTGAACGAGTATAGGCCGCTCACCAGCATTCTCCATCCAACTCTGTCCCAACCAATCCTTTCCAGCTATTTCCAGTTCCTATTCATCCCTTTCATATCCGCTTCTATTTCCCAACATAATGTGTTCTTTGGCCTTCCTCTTTTCCTTTTCCTTTCAGGATTCCAAGTTAGCGCTTGCCTCGTAATGCAGTTTGGTGATTTTCTCAATGTATATCCTATACATTTCCATCGTCTTTTCCTAATTTCCTCTTCCGCTGGAAGCTGGTTGGTTCTTTCCCACAAAAGGCTGTTGCTGATGGTATCTGGCAATGTTGGATGTTGAGTATCTTGCGTCGACAGCTATTTATAAATACATGTACCTTCTTGATGGTGGTTGTTGTAGTTCTCCAAGTTTCAGCTCCGTACAGAAGAACTGCCTTGACGTTTGTATTGAAGATTGTGACTTTGATATTGGTTGAAAGTTGTTTTGAGTTCCATATGTTCTTTAATTGAAGGAATGCGGCTCTTGCTTTGCCAATCCTTGTCTTTACGTCTGGATCTGAACCTCCTTGTTTATCGACGAATATATATATATATATATATATATATATATATATATATATAAACTTTATAAGTAAAGATGGATAGTGATCAACAGTGGAATCCAAGACGTGCGCTTCGTTTAAGGGAAGACAAAGAGTGTATACACCGACGCCATTGTGATCGATTCTGAGTCATGTCACTAAGAGTCTCCAACCATTGGTTACCATAGTCACGCGGACCCCAACGAAGTAGTCTGCATCTACCAATATGGCTCAGACTCATACACAGGTAAACATAGCTCTTTTTTTTAATACTAAAAACACGTAGAAATCAAAACAGACTACTAACTATATAAGAAATTACTTACCAAATACGACTTTCTATATGAAATAAATAAGATGAATTATCTTGTAAATATACAACAGGAAATCCATTTGGACCGAATGTAAGTGAACTAAATCGAGAATTATGACCACCTATATAAATAAAGAACAAAATAAATGGAAATGATTTAATATTTACCAATGAGGTAATCAAATAAAACCCTTGAATAGTTTGTTTTGTATTCCGTAATTATGAAGCTAATGATGAAAAAGTCAATAGAGTAAAATGTATAAGTAGATGAACTATTAAAGTATCACTCTCTGAGAGATCAAATGGTGGATATCATCAATAACTTTATAGTGAATGAACCATTTTATTGAATTATCGATATTTTACTAGTTAATGATTTAGATCAGTTTCTGCTTCTCTTTTAAATGGATGAGCAATTCATCAGCATGAAACTGTTATTTCAGCATAATATAGAGATTAAAATTAAGGTCAACATTTCGTATCGAATCTTTTTAACCTCATAGTTCGATATGGATATGGAAGATCCACCAAAGGGGAGTTGGAAAACTCTAATTCCAAACCAATGTCTTTAGGATCCTAACTAAACAAGTGGCGTATGAACTAATTGTTGATTACTGGCTACCATGGGACTGCATCTGCTGACGTTGCTTCACTGCCTTTTGGGTTAGATCTTTAGGCTCCGGGTGTGGCTCACTAATAAAATCACATACATCGGTTTCGAAACCTGGACAGTATCACAGATCTCACACAAATCGACTGATTTATATGGTGCATATCTATTTGGTGCCTTCTTGTACTAATGTTTATGTGTTTAAATAAATAAATAATGGTTCGATCTAAATATTAGAGTATCACCTAAATTTTATACTAGTGGCTAGATCATACATCTAGTAAATAGACAGATGAAGGTAAATTAGCAAACACGTACAGATTAGAGGAGTTGGCTATCAAATTACACCTTTGAAGTAAAGAATAGTAATACGATTTGGGAATCGAAGTACGTGGAGAATGTTTCAAATTAATGACCAAAGGTTGAGAATTGAGTGGTTATATAATTACAAACCAAATAATTTGTGGACACTATACGGTACGTTTAGTCAGTATCAAACTCAAAACGCATCAATCAACGGTGATAGTAAACACTAGACTGACCAGTTAATGAGTTATACTCAAAATTGGTGATCGAACACTAATGAACATACTGATCATTCTAAGTAACTCGAAATCGTGTGTATTATGTTCGGGCGTTAGGTGGTAGAAGGTAATTGCCAGAACGATCTGAATGTAAACTTGATGATGAATTGCTCGTTAGCAAAGCGTATTTTTAGGTTTGAGTAAGATCGCGGATAAATCTTGCGGACAAAGGCAACTAGTACGAAACTTAGGTCCAGGAACTTTTAACAATTAATTCCAAATACACAACTCAGATATTATTCGTATTGACATTCTAGATGATGTTCTCATAGTAATCGCGGCCAATAGATAAACAACTATGGTAACGGTTAGTTATCAGTTGTTGTCACACTGATACATTCGTTAGTGTATTTTAATGTTATTTCCTACTTTATATCTCTCAATTTGAATTTGTTCTATCCAAATTACACTATCCATGTTTAGCTATTTTTGACTTCCATTGACATTACTACTATTTAAGCTCTTTAATCTTGTAAACTACCAGATACTTAGTGCGAAAGATGACAATATGGGGTAAGGAACATACATTTGCACCAGATTTTATAATCGATTGTGTTCAATGTTTAAACTACAAAAACTGACTAGATTGTTCATATTTAACCTTCTAGCCAAACGTATAGCATGAGATAGTACTAATCCGAAAGAAATAATAATCCAAGGATAATAATACTTAAACTTTAATAGTTGAATTCATGAGTCAATGAAAGCTAGACCATACATAGAAAACCTGAAAGCACTGGACGTCTGTTTCGTCCTAGTACGAGACTCCTCAGAAATGCGCTTATGAATCGAACAATTAAATTATTATATCTACAAAACCTCACTTTGATAATAATTGAACAGTTGAAATTCTTACCATTTAAAACATCTTTAATATTGGTTTCAATTAAAACTTGAGGAAATATACAAGAACTAAGTACAGAAGACATTGAACCGAAACCACAATTATTTAAACAAAAATTCCATAATATCAATCTACCAGATCGACATAAAGCAGCTAGACGATATTTACGATTTACATTAAATTTATTCATTATACTATTGTTAGATAATGTAAAATTATTATTTCCATTTATAAGTGTTGTTTGTTTTTGTTCATTTCCACTGACAACTGCATGTAATCGACTAAGGTTGTTATTATTATTATTATTAGTAGTAGTAGTAGTAGTAGTAGTAGTAGTAGTTGAAGATTCTGTGCATGTTGTGAAAATACGATTAGAAGTTGTTGAAGATGATTGAAATGATTCAGTAGTTTCAGTAGTTAGTGCTAATGTATGCACACAGTCTAATAAGAGATTAGGACATATATGACCACCAGTACTGTAAATTAATTGTATTCGACCTTTGTTATCACCAACAGCAATCACTTCACTGAAATAATAAAAGAAAGGAATATGCAAGTAGTTAAACAACTAGTAAAAACTAGAAAGTAATAAATAGCTACTTGGTCTTAGTATAAGACTGTCTAGTTGTATGCATTCACGATTCCACAAGGGATGAGGGTTAGGATCCTTAGGTCCTGAGTTGAATGCCTAATTTTTAGATGACTAAGTTGGGATCCAGTGGTTTCAATTAATTCGTGATATTGTGAAACTATTCTTTGATGTCACTGATTGGTGGCTAATTGACGCTTAATACGGTTCAAATTCACTGGCCATAGGTATCACCAGAACTCCGATCGTCTAAGATCAGTTCATGATGCAAACAATAAAAATTGACAATCTATGCAAAACCTTTATGCCAGAAAAAAGCATTTGGTTAATAAAAGAATTTTATTAACAAGATTTCGCAGAGTGTAGCATACAAGATTTTAAATAACTTTATGTTAGTTTCTCTAGTATGAATGAATTATACACCCGGCATTAATCAATTGTTTTCAATGGACTTCTATACTGGTAGTATTCTGGTAAAAGCAATCAGGCTTAAATAATCTCAAACGGTAAAAGAGACAATTATAAAGATAAAAAAACTTGAGTTGTAATTTGATAAAATAAAGTTTAGACGTGATTGATATCAGTCAATTCGTCAGTCAGCTACAACGTAGGACCAGGCACATATAGGCATCGGTTCAAGTTGCCAAACTTCATCATTACAACAAGATGAACACCAAATTCATAGAAGTAAATACTTCAATGGTAGTGCCCCCGAATGCCCTGGTACGGCCGAGAGTGGGGAGAGTCCGCTCTCCCTCTCGAAATGCTCTCACACGACCACGCGTATACAGCCTCTGCCACAAAAGTCCTACTCACTGCCTCCTCGTGGTGGGGGTGTTGTTTACAAAAATAAGAGGACGAAAAGCGAATGTCCGGCGCTTTAACCGGTTTGGTGGACATTAAGAGTTCAACTAGCAGAGTTGGAAAACCCTGACTCCAAACCAATGGTGTACATGGGCTCCAGTATCCCGAAGGGATAAATGGCGTATGAACCAATTGTTAGTCACTGGCTACCATGTGACTGCATCTCCTCACGATGCTCCACTGCCTTGTGGGTCAGACGTTCAGATCGAAGGCTCGGGGTGTGGCCCCCTAAGAAAACCACCTGCTTCGCTTTGGGCACCCGGACAGTATCACAGCACACACACAAATCAATTGAGATTCGTGTGGCGCATATGTATTTGGTGCCTCCCTGTATCTATACCTATGTTTTGAAATAATAATAATAATAATCAATGGTAGTAATATATAAAAGAAAGATTGTATATAAGAATATAATACAAGAATTAGTTGGTAGAAATAAAGGTACAAAGCAATTTTAATCTCACGATTAAAGTGAAGACAAATAGTGTATACACCGACACCATAATGATCAGTTCTAAGCTATGTCACCTAGAGTCTTTCATTATATATTTATTTGAACACAATAAATATTGGTACATAGATCACCAAATATATATGCGCCACACGAATCTTCATTTTATTTGTGTGTGGGCTGTGATACTGCCCATGTGCCCAAACCGAACCAGGTGATTTTCTTAGGAGGGCCACACCCCGAGCCTTTGACTTAAAGGTCTGATCCACAAGACAGTGGAGCAACGTCAGCAGATGCAGTCCAGTTCCATGGTAGCCGGTGACCACCGACTGGTTCATACGCCATTTGTTCCCACAGGTTACTGGACCCCACGTGCACCATTGGTTTGGAATCCGGTTATAACGCTGGACATTCGCTTTTCGTCCTCTCATTTTCGTAAACAACACCCCCGCCACGAGAAGAAAGTGAGTAGGACTTTCCTGGCAGAGGCTGTATACGCGTGACCGTGTGAGAGTATTTCGAGAGGGAGGGAGGGCCCTCCCCACTCTCGGCCATACCAGGGGATTTGGGGGCTCACCCAGAGTCTCCACACACTGGTTACGATAGTTGTGCGAACCCTAGCCAACCAACCTGCAACGTGGCTCAGACTAGAAGTTAGTGACTTCAAGCACTGATGCCACGTTTTGGTTTTGCCGCCTCTAATTTTCTTCCAACAGTCTCTAACACTAGTCAGCATTGGGCGTTGTGGTAAACGGTGTTCAAGCATACGTAACATGTGATCCAGCCACCTCAGTCGATGAAGATTCACAACCTCATCAACTGATTTAATATCATTTCTTAATATCCTGCGTCTAACCTCACTATTACTTACCCAGTGATCCCAGAAGATGCAGGCAATATTTTTAAGACATATGTAATAAAACACTAGTAGACTACGAGTACCTTCTAATCTTAATGGCCACGTTTGGCAGCCGTAATGTAGAACAGAACGAATTGCCGGATAGTATACTCGTTCTTTTATTGATAGACCGATATCCCGAGTTTGCCATAGGTGGTGACGTAAGTTGGCGAAAGCCAAACGAGCTTTCTGAATCCATTCAGAGATTTTGTCAGGCTTAATATGTATAAATTAAACTCAATTATGAGATAGAACACAACGAATAATGTACAGTAATCGGGGAGGATACTGATTTAGATGAGTTTTACCCGACCATAAAGGTTAATTATCATTACTCAACATCGAACGACAAAATCTCTTTAAAAGTTAATATTGTTATAACATTTACTGAAAATATAATGTTTATATTACTTACTCTGAATATGCATACGAAGTTAAACGATCTGAACATATTAATTCCCATAAACGACGATCACTACGACTGGCAATTATTCGAGAGACTGAATTTGATAATTTTGGAATTTCTTCACCACGTGTAGATGAATTTGAAGAGTTGATTAACTGTACAATAATTGGACCATCGATCAGATTAGAACATACAAATTGAACTTTTGATGAATTCCCTAGTTGATCAGAGGTAGTGATTAGAAACGGTGCAAAACTTGCCGTTCCTAAAGGTGGATTTTGTACAGATGATGATGTATGATCAGCTGAAAAAAACGCAAAGTTTACTTGGTTATTTGTGAACTACTTAAAACATAAAAATAAGTTGTTTAATAGCATATTACTAAGAAATTCTAATTGGAAAAACCATCTAGATGCAGAGTTTTTTTTTAAAGATAAAAACGGTAAGGCTTACTAGATTCCAAAGTAGATCCAAGGGTGAGCTTCGGTTTTGGTGGTGATGATTCCGGTGTAAAACAAGGTTTTTTATTCTGCAACACAGACGACTTTGAAACATCCGATCCTGGTTTTGGAGATTTTTCCTCTTCAGCAAACAATCGAATACGTCTTTTACGTTGTTTGTTACCAGTAACAGTGACTTGTTTATTCATTTCATCACTGATCGGTTTAATATGATCCGTATCATCGTCGTTGTTATCTAAACGTGGACGCTTCAGTTCTATCCCACTTTCCTGGTCCATAACAGTAGTGGTAGTAGTAGTAGTAGGAATAGTATTAGTAATAGTAGTAGATTCAAGTGTTAATTTCTTTGATGGTGCCTGAACAAACGTAGCTAATGATTGTGATTCAGAGTTGATTTTTGGTTCCACAGGTGAATGACTTGAGCATATAGTAACAGTAGTTGACCTAGAAATAAGCAATTACAAATCAAGGTAACCAACTGAACTTATTGAAGAACACATACACAACAATGAATGATAGTAGATAGTAGATATTCATGTAAACAATGAAAGCTTACACTTTTTTTAAACTTACGGTAATGTAGTCTCGTTTCCCTTCGAATCAACTGTACTTATTGTAGATATAGGTGTAGGAACAACAACATTCGAAGTACATGTTTTATCAAAACTCGTAGAAACACTATTGTTGACTTGTACAAGTGTAACAGTTGGAAGAACATCATCAGTGGCTATAGTTTTAGGTATAATAGAATTAGTAGATTGAGTTGTTGTTACATTTGCTCCGGTTGTTGATATTGCTACCATATGATTTATTTTATTTATATCTGACATCAAGTCTGAATTATTCTCCGAGCTCAATTTACTTTCACATCTGTTAGATTGAGGTGATGAAAATTGTGGATTAGAATTAGCATCTTCATCAGGGCTATGATATACAGAGAAGAATGGGAAACAGGAGACAATGATTAACGTTAATAGAAAAGTTTTATTCAAAATTATTGAGTTTCGACTTATTAAAAACAGATTATAAAATGATTTGCCATTCATATCACTATTAGTAAAGATATCCTTGTTAATATTCAGGATGGGATTTTGATTAGGCTTTGTTGTTGTATGAGTATAATATGCGAATCGCCTCACTTTAACCATTAAATGATCTATAGAATAGACACAGATACATTCAGCTGACGAGTTGAGAAAAAGACGAAATGTAAGATCAAGCATTAACCATAATCTACCAATCTTATAAAATCTTTCAACATTATTCATAAGCGATTTATGTTTTCTAGTTGGTGATATTCAAGACTGAATTATCGTACAGAGAATCAACATTTTGATTCATCATTTAAGTGATACTCAAAGACGATATCATAAAATAATCTAAGACTTTTTCTAAACAGTGTTATATAAAAGAGAACTATTTACTTTATCATGGAATCTTTGCAGACACTAGAGCAAGCTGTAAGATCACTAGGCGTGACGAGATCACGATAAGGTATTAGTTCATGAAATCATTAACTGCTGGTCTACTGCATATTTGTGGGTCTCATATACATAGCTGGCGTTCACTGGATTATCGTGATCGGTGGTTTCAAAAAGTCAGTGACATGGCTCAAAATTAATCTCAATGAAGTAGATTGATCTATCAATTGTTAACTCCTAAATTCCAAGTTCTAATGCCATTCTTTAATTTTCATTCTATTAATTCATCCCTTCTTCTCAAATCCCATTTTCCATATTTAATCTTTTCTTAAACTATCATTAGTATTATTACTTTTACGATCATGGTATTCATCATATTCATTTCATTGTGTTCATGTTGTATACATTTGTCTGTCGAGCTAAGTTATTTGTGAATGAACAATAAAAACATTGTTATTAGAATGGGAGTTTGTGAAGACTGTAGTAATTTTAATAGTTGAATTGATGATTCTATTCAAGCTAGACCACCAATGAAAACTTGAAAGCACTGGATGACCGTTTCATCCTAATGTGGGACTGCTCAGAAGTGCGCATCCACGATCCACGACTCGAACCCTGGACGTTCAGTCTCGCAAGCGAACGTTTAACCTCTAGACCACTGAACTGACATCCAACGGCGTTAATGTTTAACTTCATACGATCCATGATCGACTCATGAATTAAGATTCTAGTAATACTATATATAGACAAGAAGTTGAAGTAATTAAAATAGAATTCAGACTATTCTGTTATTATTTGCTTGAATAACTTGACCTAAACGAAAGCAACTAATATATTTTGTTACTATACCTACCTAATTCTTAGTTATATTTATACTTATCAAACAAGTGAAATAGATGAATTAAACTGCTCACACAAAACACTCGATTAGTGTCATTGACCTTTAAAGTTGAAAGATACACAACGAAAATTAATTCGTATCTTTCCCAACATATATTGTCCAGTCAGTTGTCATTGATTAGGAAACATTAGACATTATTTCATACAACCTTCAATAAACTATCAGATAATTATAGATGGGTATAAAAACAATTTTTTTTTTATAAAAGAAAAGAAAAGGTTAATCCTAGCTTTATGGGTTAACAGACTTTAGGTCATTCACACTTAACTCTTCCTTACTTAGTTTTGACAAACGTAAGTTGTGATCATATGATTGGTTGATAGTATTTTCCTAAATCTACTCATCAGACAACCTTGGATCCATAGTACATTAATAAATTTATATTACATGATATTAGATATCTATTAGAGTATGAAGCAGTAATAAATAGACGATATGTTGTTTAATTAATTGTGGTTACAAATAATGTTTCACTGAATTACAATTTAGACACTATCATTTAAGTAATTTTCAGTTAATTAATAACATGCGATTACATGAAACATGATCATAAGTGGAATTCAGAAGGCACGTTTCGTCGACTAGATGTGTTTGCATCTCAGAGTTGATGTTCAACTCTGGGACTCGAACCCAGTACCGTTCAATTTAAACGCTATCCATTTAGCTACTGAGTGTAGGTCGTTTATTGTTTATTAACAGTTGTCTAAGCAAAATACTTCGGATCCGTTGGCCGGACACCATTAGCAACAACCTACTGTGGGAGAGAACAAACCATATTCAAGCGAAGGAATAAATCAGAAAGAAGCGCTGAAAGTGAATAGGATACACATTGAGGGAAGCAACCAACTGCGTCACAAGACAACCCTCAAAGTCAAGGGAAAAGAGGAAGACTAAGGAACACATTACGCCGGGAAATGGAGATAGACATGAGAAAAATGAACAAGAATAAAATGGAACTAGAAAAGAAGGCCCAGGACAGAGTGGATCGGAGAATGCTGGTCGGAGGCCTATGCTCCATTAGGAGTAACAGACGTAAGTAAGTAAGTAAGTAATGTAGAAGACGTTAAGAAATCCAGATCATAGACAAACATGGAATTAATTTCAAAAACACTATACAAATCTATACATAAGAAATACAGTTCCAATGAAATGAGATGAAACAATTAAGAATTAGGAATGACACTTAAGTTGAGATTAACAAGAAGATACAGAATGAATGCAATTGCAACTGAGTTTATATCAACTCGCCTAACGTATTCAACCTATAACTACGTGAAGTGAGAGAACCTTGACTAAGGAATTCACAGCTAAATGGTTTCTTAGATTGATATCACATCTTGATATACTCACTAAAAGCGTTCTTTTAACTTACTATTTATTCAGCATAGGGTATGAATAGAAGTTAAAATTAAAACTGGACTGACGAAGGAAAAAAAGTATTATTATTATTATTATTATTATTAGAATCAAGCTTTAGAGAAGTAAATCTGTACACTAGCCAAAATAATTTTTAATCATGAGTGAAGATTCTTCATTTGAATACTGTGACTCTCTCTGTCTTCAAGAAGAAAACCACTGAGATAAATGAAATGAATCCACTGTAAACAAAAAGCATATTCTATGAAAACACCTATCATCATTTAGATATTCACTACAACCTAGTAACCACAATAATAAGTATAAAAACATACCTATCCAAATGACCTAAAAATTTAGGAGTTATTCTTCGTCGTCCATCTTTACTGACAGTTTCAATCTGTTTGGATGGCTAGAATGAAAACAAACACAAACAATGTCAACAATAGTACACATTGAGCAATAAAAAAAAACAAACATTCAAAACAATCTGTTTTAGTTTTCCATTTTAAAATAAAAATCACAAAATTTCTATGGATAACTGTCAAAATGAAACTGTATTTCTTCATCAATTAAGGAATCGATATATACAATTAATATGAGAAGGGGTTTTGTGGAGATGTTAGAAATTTCACTGGTTGAAATCATGAGTCAATTGAAGCTAGACCACTATGGAAAACTTGGAAATACTGGACAACAGTTTTGTCCTAGTATAGGATTCCTCAGCAGTGCGCATTCATGATCCCGCCTCGCGAGATTCCAACCCGGGACCAATCAATCTCGCGCGCGGGCGCTTAACCATTAGACCACTGAGCTGGCCGGCATCCAACGGTGTTAATGTCTAAATTCAACCAATCCACGAAATTGCGCCACCGTACACCATCGTATTCAGTGAGCTGATATCTCACAACAGACCTGGTTGAACTCCACTGGTCACGGCTTCTCACTATTACTCCAGGAGTGTCTCTTGAAGTTAGTCATCAGTGAGAACATAATTATTATGAGAAGGGTTTTTTTGGAGATTTTAGAAATTTCATTAGTTGGAATCATCAGCCAATTGAAGCTAGACCGCCATGGAAAACCTGGAAGCAATTAAGTTATACGCAACAACATAATAACCAATAACTGATAAAAAATTGGGGGGTAGTTCAGAATCGGTTGTAACTGAGGGGAGAGCGGAATGCATTCACTCTTGAGTTTTAAAATTATTTCCTATTTTGTATTTCCAGAATTCATAATTCTTTCAGATCATATTATTTGTTTGATCGTTTTTTGTTGTTACTTCATATTATAGGCATTTTTCCTGATGATCTCTCATTGTGTTGACAAGATGTAGAGACTTGAAGTCGTACATATATATTTCAGATTCTATGTTGCTGTTGACTGACTGTATTCGTAACCTTTCTGATTTTGACTCATTGATTAAATGATGCTACAATCGTCGTAAGATGTGAAGTTTTCAATATGTGGTAGTGCTGAATTCCATTGAAATTATGAACTGATCTACGTTAGGCCACCACTGAAAACCTGGAAGCACCGGACGGCCGTTACTTCCTAGTGTAGAACTTCTAAAGAGTGCCCATCCACGATACTGCATAAAAAGATCGAACCTAGGACAATTGGCATCGCACGCGAACACATCGTTGTGTCATTTCTTCACATACTACCTGAAGATCAATCACTCAATAAATACTTCATATAAATTCAAACAAACATGTACGCTTGAAAACTTAAATTCGCCATCTTCCTTTATCAGATTTTAACAGACCATAAACCAAATTTTTCAAATTCAGCAGTAACTTATTAGTATATAGGCATCGTGGAGATTATGGACAGAATGTAACTAAACAACTATCAGAAAGGATTGAATAACTGATTTGAGATAGTACAGGATTCCTTAGAAGTGTGCATCCTTGCAAGGAATAGAACACAAGATTACAAGAACTCATAGAAAATTCTTATTCTTCAAGCTACCCAGACAGCATAAAATGGTTTACATTTCTAATTTTAGTCAATTCGTCGTCAAGTACTTTCTAGTTTTAAATAATCAGTTTGTGATCTACACTATAGAATTCATTACTAACACATTTGAATGCATAGCTAAGGACGACTTAAACATGTAACAGATATTATTATGTCCACAGTTCATTTATTTATTTATTTCAGCACATAAACATTGGTACAAGGAGGCACCAAATAGATATGCACCACATAAATCATTCGAGTTGTGTGAGGGTTGTGATAATGCCAAATGTCCGAACCGAAGTAGGTGGTTCTATTAAGGGGCTACACCCGGAACATTTGACCTAAAGATCTTATCCACAAGGCAGTGGAGCAACATCAAAAGATGCAGTCCCATGGTAGTCGGTGATCAATGCCATTTGCTCCCTCAGGATCCTGGAATCATCATTGGTTTGAAATCAGGGTTTTCCAACTCCATTAGGTGGATCCTACATATCTATCAACCTAGTTAAAACACCGGACATACGCTTTTCGTCTTCTCAATTTTGTGAACAACACTCGTCGCGAGAAGGCAGTGAGTAGGATTTCCCTGGCAGTGGTTGTATGCACGTGAACATCTGAGAGAATTTCGAGAGATGGAGAGAGAGAGCTGACTCTCCCCACTCTCGGTCGTACCAGGGCATGTCCACAGTTCATAATTATAATCTCTAAACTTTACTACTAAAACGCACACTCAATCATTATTCCAATTAAGCAACTGACAGTGTAGTGAACAAGAACACAGGCGGGGACAATCGAATGTATCTGACAGCAAATTACAGAACTACTTATTAAAATCCAACAACCATATATTAAATCGTTAATTTACAAATTGTTCATCAGTTGTCTCAAATGACTAAGAATCTCTTTCTTCGTGCATTTTCATACAAATTGCATTCTTTCTTCATTCTTTGTTGTTCGATCTTCTCGTCTCTCTGCTGCCAGACATTCTGTTCAGTACTCACGTCATATACTACTTATGTCTACATAAGTAGCACACACTACAACAGTATTACGTAAGTTATAATAAACAAAGTATCAACTTAGTTATGAAAAACTGATCATTCTCTTTACTTCAACAAAGTATTGTGCACTACGAGTTGGATTTTTACCTAACTGCCAAAAAATCAAATCATCGTACTTTATCACCATTGGGAATGTTCATCCCAAAACTTCCAAAGATTCAATCGTACTTCAAAGACATTTTTTTTTCAAAGAAAAAACAACTTTGGTCATAAAATTTAGATATTTCATATTGTGAAAAAGAAAGAATCAAATTACTTACACCTTTTGGAAGACACTTCGCTTGTTTATCTCGTGTTGGTGAATGTTTTAATTTTGTACGTAATTCAGCTTGAGTTTTTTGCAAAGCTAAAGCTTCAGGGGTTTCTAGTAAGATATCACTTTGATTCAATATACTTGAATTGTCTTTATTCTCATCAGAAGGATCTACATCTGTGGATAAACCATTCGATGTAATTGGATGAAATTTATCTAATAAACTTTGTCCATAAATTTTGTAATGTAATTGAATCTAAGAAGAGAATTGATATGGAAGTGTAACTTTTTTGGAATAAGAAATCTTGAAACTAATATGAGAATAATAAAAGTGACAGAAAAATTGCATGTTCTTTTCAAGAATTTTGGTCTATTCAAAAAAAAACCAATAGTTACTAAGTAGTACTAAGTAGTGTATAAATAAATCTTATAAATATGACAATGAACATTAATGTACAATATGAGTGATCAATTGTTTCACAACAGCAACGATACCATAATTGGAAACTTTATTTTTATAGCCTAGAGCAGGAACGGTTGTGATATAAATGACATTTGATTTAAAAAGAGTACATAGCCGTTAAAGTGTTAGTAAATCTCTCAGATACACCTTTCCTTAACAGAAAATCTTAGAGTACAGTTTTATTCAACAAACGAAAAAAGCCCCTGAGATCAAGAAATACCCATATTAAATGTGATGATCATTTAACATTTAGCAACCAAATACATGCATAAACTGATGGAAAACTAACCTATTCTATACATTTTCTACAATGTTGTGATGGAATATTTTGTACATAAACGACATCCTTAGTTCCATAAGATACTAAGCGATTAAATCTTTGGAAATTCATTCATTTACAATAGTATGAACAAATTATCAGTTCAGATAACCCAAATACAACACACAACACTATACGTTTTCATATAATATGATTAGTATACAGAGTATTACATAATAAGTTTTAAGATTAACCAACTTACAACTTCTTTAAGTGACCATGGAGTTCCTAATTCTTTATGAGTAAAACCCATATAACAAACAGAGCCATCCAGTGAGCAAGCCATTAATTCACGACCATCAGAACTCCTTCATTAATGATTAAATATAAACAGTTTTGGTTAAATATTCTATTTATTTATTTATTTGAAAACAATAAATATTGGTACAATGGGGCACCAAATATATATGCGCCACACAAATTTTCATTTGATTTGTGTGTGGGCTGTGATACTGCCCAGGTGCCCAAACCGAACCAGGTGATTTTCTTAGGAGGGCCACACCCCGAGCCTTTGACTTAAAGGTCTGATCCACAAGACAGTGGAGCAACGTCAGCAGATGCAGTCCAGTTCCATGGTAGCCGGTGACCACCGACTGGTTCATACGCCATTTGTTCCCACAGGTTACTGGACCCCATGTGCACCATTGATTTGGAATCCGGTTATAACGCTGGACATTCGCTTTTCGTCCTCTCATTTGGGGGCTAAATATTCTAATATTCTAAGGATTTTTTTCAGAATTTCATTTTATTAAAAGAATGAAGTGAGCACATTGTCAGTGATGACTTACTTGATTTGAATACTGATTTGAATACTTGATATTCATTCAGTGAAAATGCTGGTGCTCTTGTGGTGTTCAAATCTATACCTATGTGTATACTAAGATGTGTACAGGCCTTCGCTTATGCATTCTATATATATATATATATATATATATATATATATATATATATATATACTTGCGAGGGTAAACTTCTGTGCTTATATGTATTTTTAGGTGTGGGCTTGCCTGTGTTTCCATAGTTACATGCACAGTATACTAGCAAACACGCACAACTATGCCAATATGTATATCTTTAAAACCTGCATTTCAATATATACATATAAAGAATACTTGGTGATAGTTTCCACGCTTCTCCACTGGTGAACTCATTAGTAGTTCATCAGCGCCTTTGGTATGTTGAAAATATGCTTATTTCTGATTGAATAGGTGAAAATATTATTAAATATTATGTATAAAATGTAACTCAAAAGCCAATCAAATGAACCAGTAAGTGGTCTATCCATTCATACATAGTTTACTATAAAACAATATGTAACACTGAGAAAAAACAAGATATTTTCTCGCCGCATTAAGCCAAGTAGAATCTAAGACATATCTGCATTCATCCAACCTGTCATATCATATCAGCATACCAACGAACTAGAAGCAGTAGCTTAAAATCTAAACCAATTGGACATCAGTTCTACTAGGTCAAATAAGAAATGATTGATGTTAATAAGTGTATGCTTTGGCTTAATTATCCAAAGGGAACAATTATATGCTACTATTTGAAAATCTGGCGTAATTTTCTGGAAAAAAAACAGATCTATGTTAATGAATCAGTTTTCGGACATATTTCGACTCAGTAAGCCAATAAAACTTCCTAGTCTCTTCTGGTATCGATACGCACGGAGCTCTATCAACTTGTACACAGGTAGTGCATATTTCAGTAAGAGACTCGGACGGCTGTTCGATACAACAATAATGATACCAGTAGTATTGGAAATATTTGATATAGCGAATGTGATCCGAGAAGAATAAATTAACTCAAGGAATTCAAAGTACAAAATAATTTTGAAATCCAGAAAGTAAGGGAAAATAAAAGTTGAATGCGTCTGAGCAATTGTGGTCGATTTTAAGTCCTGTTATCGAACATCTTTAACTACTAGGCGGGATAAACAAAAAGATCCCAACCAGGTAGTCTGAGGTTACCAATATTGTTCAGTCCAATGACCAATAACTTCATAGACTAGTACTACATTTTGGTATGAGTTTCCTTAACTTTCTTCTTCGGAAAAGTGATGAATAACGAGACTCCAAAGAATGTACTGTTTATGACTGTTCAAAGTTTATTTGCCCCCAAACGCCCTGGTACGGCCGAGAGTGGGGAGAGTCCACTCTCCCTCTCCAAATGCCCTCACATGGCCACGCGTATACAGCCTCCTACTCACTGCCTTCTCGTGGCGGGGGTGTTGTCTACGAAAATGAGAGGACGAAAAGCGAATGTCCAGCGCTTTAACCGGATCCCAAACCAATGGTGCACATGAGCTCCAGTATCTTGAAGGAACAAATGGCGTATGAACCAATCGTTGGTCACCGGCTACCATGGAACTGGACTGCATCTCCTCACGATGCTCCACTGCCTTGTGGGTCAGACGTTCAGGTCAAAGGCTCGGGGTGCGGCCCCTTAAGAAAATCACCTGGTTCGGTTTGGGCACATGGGCAGTATCACAGCACACACACAAATCAATTGAGATTCATATGGCGCGTATGTATTTGTCGCCTCCTTGTACCAATACCTATGTGTTAAAATAAATAAATAAAATAAGCCAATGACACTTAAATGGAGATGTATGACATAGACTTTCCCCACTTACTGATAGCTGAACTGTTTCCTCAAGAGTATTCTAGTGTAATAACCTTTACATATTATTTTCATAAGCAGTGTTTTGTATTGCAGTCATATTTAGTGAAAATATTTCTATTTCTAAATAACAATAATGCAATGGTTGAGATTTCACCGTAGTAAATTTACTTTCATAGTATCCAATACTTTAAAATATCAGTAAAACGTTATTTCAACAAAAACAAATCAGAATAGTAACATACCATGATAAATCACAAACAGAATTAGTGAACAGATCATGAACAACAATTCGTGCACGACGACCCGCTGTCGACTGAAAGGGTAATAGATTGTGTTTTTTTTTACTAAATAGTCAGACAACGTATTAGTGAAATTAATTTAGAAATAGAAATACAGTTTGAAAAGTTGGCATTTTGATTTAACTGGCTAAAGGAACAGAACTGTCTTGTAAATGTAAAACAAGACATCACTATTAGAGTTTAGGATCTCTGAGCCATGGGTCACATATGTTCAGGATACTCAGGACGTGCTATATCGCTGACCAATAGAAGTTTGGGATTAATATTATTAAGTTTCGACCGAGAGACAAAGTACTGTCTTGTTGCGTGAAGACCTGAAGATTCTAAGTAGGTGCAGATTACCTGGTGAAGGTACGTACGATCATTGTAACAAATGGTTAGAGACTGAATAATATGGTTCAAAATCGTTATCATTGGTTGATGTCTGTTTACCTTTTATATTTATTTAGTTCTTAAGTCACTCACAAAACCACGTTGATCCACTCATCTGTTTTATTAACACTAATACTATTATTACTTCAACTACTCTGGGATTTCCCATGACAATTTCATCTTGGTGAGCTAAGAGGGTGTGACAACTTGAACCGATGTGCGCACATTTGCGAGGTAAAAATTCAATTTATGTGAGGGCTGGGATACTGCCCAGGTTCCTAAACTGAAGTAGGTGATTTTCTTTGGCAGCCACACACCCGAGCCTTTGACCTAAAGGTCTGATCCATAAGGCAGTGGAGCGACGTCACAACATGTAGTCCCATGGGAGCCAGTGGCCCACAATTGCTTCATACGCCTTCAGGATCCTAGAGCTCATGTGCCCCGGTGATTTGGAATCAGGGTTTTCCAACTCCACTATGTGAAATCTCCGTATCCACCGACTGATGAACACCTAAAAACTTTCGGTTAGGAAAACAAAAAATTGACAGACTATAAATGACTTCTGTTTGTAACTTTCTTTATTTAGAAAGCAGTAGTTCAGTGGAAATTATTATGTGCATTGTAACATTTATGGCTTAGTGTAAAAATAAAATTCGATGGATGAAAGCCTAGAATTATACCGGTGAGACCATAATCTATGAACGACCTTTGAACAACATCAAAGTGACCTTGAGAACGTTTGTCTATTCACTAGGACTAAATGAGGGTTATAAAATAATGTGAGAAATTAGAATTATGATGTACAGTTGATGGTTTGGGTTAGGAATTAGATTAATGGTTTTTATCACGAATTGACACCAGCTGAACTATCAAAAAGCTATTTAGCTAAATTGATGAATGAATTTCGCGCCAATATACAAAATCTGATTGGTTTATGCATAAATTATAGTCTCGTACTGCTAACCTATTATAGTTTATGTTGAAATTATTAATGAAGGATAATTCTAACCAACAACTGAGATCAAATGAAAATCTTTTGCGAATTAAACAAGACTTAAAAGTTATGTCAATATAATTTGAAAATCCTAAACAGTGTCCATGTATAACTTCAAACCAAATCGAACCAATAACTAGTAGACTTAATAACAAGCAAGAAATTATTCAGTCACTTGATTGGACTTTAACAGTTACACCTATTTTAAATGAAGCTAGAACGTATACCACAAACCTCAACAACTACATTTGGAAATCTTGCAAACCTTGCATATTAGTAATATACCAATATCACGTTCTCCAATGACATCTTAAGATCTAATAATAAACAACTATACTTAAAAAAAGAAGATTAATTAAAGAATAATTAAATAATTAGATCATAGACAGATTTATACAATAAACTAGTACACAGTTTACAATTACTTACCCATACAGAAACAGAACGATCTTTACTGCCAAGAGCTAAACAAACAGCACCCTAAAACAAGAAGAATAACCATATTGATCATTATAGAAAAACAACTATAGTTACAAGAACATTATCAAATATTAATATTAATATATAAATGTAAATATAATAAATGATATGGTTTGTTGAAATGATTCAGATCATTTGTAGTTAAAATGGATACTTTGTTTGTTAATATTAAGTTCAATAGTTTAATTGTGAAGTATTTGTTGTTATTCTGGACAATAAATTATAACTGTCAAACAAACGAAACAAAAAAAGTTGTTTGCACTAATAGTAATATACAAACATGTAATTAACCATAAGGTTGGATGTTATTTAATATAAACAATTTATTTATTCATTTTAAGCATACGTATGCCTGAACACCAATTACCACAACGCACAATGCTGATTGGTGTTAGGGATAATTGGAAGAAAGTTAGGAGCGGCCAAACCAAAACGTGGCATCAGTACTTGAAAGCACTAACTTCTAGTTTGAGCCATGTTGATAGATGCAGACTACTTGGTTGGGGTCCGCGTGCCTGTCGTAATCAATGGTTGGAGACTCTTGGTAACATGGCTCAGAATCCATCACAATGGCGTCGGTGTATTCATTTTCTGTCTTCCTTTAAGCTAAGAGATTAAAATCGCTCCATATCTTTCTTTCTACGAACTAATTCTTTCTTCCTTTATTATATCCTTATACACAATCTTTCTTTTATATACTACTACCTTTGATGTGACTACTTCTATGAATCCGGTGTTCATCTTGTTATGCTAATGCGGTATGGCAACTTGGACCAATGCATATATGTGCCTGGTCCTATGTTGCAGCTGACTGGACTGATGTAAACATTGGTACAAGAAGGCACCAAATAGATATGAGTCATATAAATCACTGGATTTGTGTTAGAGTTATCCAGACGCCCGAATCAAAACAGATGGTTCGCTTATGGGGCAACGCCCCAAAATGCCTTGGTATGGCCGAGAATGGGGAGAGTCCTCTATCCCTCTCCAAATGCTCTCACACGGTCATGCGTATATAGCCCCTGCCAGGGAAGTCCTACTCACTGCCTTCTCGAGCCACAGGTGTTGTTTACGAAAATGAGAGGACGAAAAGCGAATGTCCAGCGCTTTAACCGGATCCCAAACCAATGGTGCACATGGGCTCCAGTAACCTGTGGGAACAAATGGCGTAAGAACCAATCGTTGGTCACCGGCTACCATGGGACTGAATCTGCTGACGTTGCTCCACTGTCTTGTGGATCAGATCTTCAGGTCAAAGGCTCAGGGTGTGGCCCCCTAAGAAAATCACCTGGTTCGGTTTGGGTACCCGGGCAGTATCACAGCCCACACACAAATCAAATGAAAATTTGTGTGGCGCATATGTATTCGGTGCCTTCTTGTACCAATATCTATGTGTTAAATAAATAATAATAAAATAACCGAAGAAGGTCAATCCCTGGGCCTTTGACTTAAGGGTCTAATTCACAAGGTATTGGAGCAATGTTAAGAGGTGTAGTCCCATGGTAAACGCTGACCAACAACAGGTTCATATGTCATTTGTTCCATCAACATCTTGGAGTTCATGTACATCTTTGGTTTGGAATTAGGGTTTTTTAAATCCCTTAGATGGATCCTCTGTTAATTATCAACCTAGTTAAATTGCCGGACATTCGCTTTTCATCCTCTCAATTTTGTAAATAACACCCCAGTCGCGAGAAAGCAGTGAGTAGGACTTCCTTAGCTGATAACATCAAGAAAAGTGTCTACACTAATTTCAATTGAAAAATATGACCTTAAAGAGTTAATGTGAGTCATTAAAATGAGCCTTTTCTTAATTTTAATTCACCAAACAGATAGGTATAATCAATATTACAAAATCAGACAGTCAGATTCAATGTACGACTCTAATACGAATCTGTATCAATTCAGATAATGAGTTATTATGTTTATTAATGGCTTTATTCAAATATTATATTTTTGGTACGATATAGAATTCTTAGCATAAAGTATTTTAATATAGTGAACATTCCTATTTTGACATTTGATAAATAAACAAGGGAGGAATCGAACAAAGAAATTTCTTTTCAATTAGTTTTTCATCATGTCTTTACACTAATACATAAGTATGGTTTACAATAATGAAATAATACTCATCAAGTAGTTACGTTACGTAATAATTGATACCATGTGCTCACTAGTGACTAGCTTTGTGAGAAAATTCTCGGAGTACTAGTGAGAAGCCGTGACCAGTGCAGCTAATCTGCATCGGGTAGAGACAGGATTGGTTGATGTTAGACACTAACACCACAATGGTTCAGTAGGTTAAGCGTTCGCGCGCGAGACTGAAGGCCTTGGGTTCGGATCCCACGAGCGGGACCTTGGATGCGCACCGCTGAAAAGTTTCACATTATAACGAAACGGCCGTCCAGTGCTTCCAGGTTTTCAATGGTTGTCTAACATCAATCGGTTCATGATCTCGACCAAAAAATTAGTATAATGACGTATCGATTATAAATTAATATTGAGTAATTGGAAGAAAGAGGATCAATAATAACCAAAGTAATTATTCGAAAATCAAGTAGTTGCTATGTTGCATAATAGATTCAAAACAGAAGAAGGAACTAACAAAATATTTTGATGAATGGTCAGTAATATAATAACTAAGTAAGAATCTAGAGACGAATGTTGAGAATAAATAAAATACAAAAAGTGGAGGGAATACGAAAATAGTCTATCGAATTCTGCTACAAACTCTCCTATACCGATGGCCAAGGTAACGAGAGTGGTTGTATAAACTTCTTTTGCATGCAAAGGTTAGGTTTGTTAACATGGATTGCAATGGCTTCAGTAATGTGCAAAAGACACATTCGTAAACCATGTGGTAAATTTGATGGAATATGGTGGATAACCTTAAAACCTTAATTCAGTTCAACTTGATGACCTGTATCCACCAAGTGAACGAGAATAGAACTCTTAATCACTCTTACCTGTCTTTTGCTCAAACACGATGGATGGTGTTCTGTTATACGTTGACGAACTTGCCGAACTGAATGCCTTATATAACTGGCTGCACAGGAGCAGTTAAAATGATAAATTCTCTTTTTTAGATATTATGCAACGTAGCAACTACTTGATTTTCGAATAATTACTTTGGTTATTATTAATCCTCTTTCTTCCAATTACTCAATGTTAATTTACAGTCGATATGTCATTATATTGTTTATTACGTAACGTATCTACTCGATGAGTATTATTTCATTATTGTAAATCATATACATGTTAGTGTAGTCATGATGAAAAACAGTATTTCAACAAGTGTCTGTTTCTTATTTCTTGATTGATCCTCACGATAAATGTTGTATGGTCGACGGTTAGATGTTAACAGTTTAAGAATCCGCATCTGGATAATGTCCACTTTTTTTCGATGCATATTATCAGTAACCATGATGTTTATAATTGTAATTTTTTGTAACGAAAAGTCGTGAACTTTTCATAAACGCACCTGAATAGGTTATCAGTCAGTCAGTGACAACGTTGAACTTCGTACGTACGTACAACAGTTCGAGTTGCCATACTACGTTAGCACAGAGATTCAATTATCGATTCAAATCCCGTAGTGGTAGAGCTAGTGAAAGTATGAGTAGTAATCGGGAACATTAAGGTTTCAAGAAGCTATTCGAGGAGTATAATCCAGTGAAATAAATTTGGAAAGAGAAAAATAACCGAGACATGAAAAATTCAGAAGATTAGAATTTGGGAGAACACAAAGATTGGATGCGTTCGCGCCATTGCGAACGATTTTGAGCCATGTCATTCAAGGTTTCTAACCATCGGTTGCTATCATCTCGCGGTCTCCAACCAGGTAATCTACACTTACCAACATGGTTTAGTCCATTTGTTAGTAACTTCATGCTTTGGTCTGGCCGCCTTTAGCTTTCTTCTAACCTACTGCTACACCACCTGAATAGATTATGTGATTAATAGACATAATGATATATTAAAAACAAATAAAAAATGAATAACTTGTTGAAAAAGTTTGGACCAAATTTCCAGATGAAATGTTGCATTTACTTTAAATTCTTTTGCTGAAATTTTACAAATACAACATTCTTCCTCTTTAATGTATTACATTAACTCGGCTCCCAGATACTATGAAACTATTCAATCAAATTTAGACGAAACTTCTTATTTATTATTCTGCAATCGTATCAAATTATTGAAGAAAATTGTACCGAATTTTCAATCTACACTGTTTAAGATATTTCCGTTGAAAAAACTTGGACCAGATCGCCAGATGAAACATTGCATTTACTCTAAATACTTTCTCTGAAATTTTACAAATATAACATTCTTCCTTTCTAGCTTGTTGAAATATCTAGATTTCAAGGAATATGTAGTCCAGATATTCAAAGAAACCATAAAGAACAAGCAAAAGTATATCAGTATTCACTATATTTAACAAAAATGGTTCATGTTAGATGAATTTGTCCTTTTTTTTCTTAATTCTTGTCAATATTATAACCAAGCATAATAATTCATCAAGACAAAATCAACATACCGGAATCCCTGATCCATCTTGTTTACGTAAAACATTTGGATTATAACGCTAAAAATAGAAAATTAATAAAAGATAAGAATATCATACAATTTATTGAAATGATTTTTCGCCTTTTTTTTTAGATCTGATACTTTTAATCATACGAAGAATAACGGGGTAATAATACAGTACACTATATTTCTTTTATTTCAGTCAGTCAGTCAGTCAGCTACAACGTAGAACCAGGCACATATATGCATCGGTCCAAGTTGCCATACCCAGTTAGCACAAGACGAACACCGGATTCATAGAGGTAGCCACATCAAAGGTAGTAGTACATAAAAGAAAGATTGTGTATAAGGATATAATACAGGAAGAAAGAATTAGTTCGTAGAAAGAAAGATGTGGAGCGATTTTAATCTCTTAGCTTAAAGGAAGACAGAGAATGTATACACCGACGCCATTGTGATCGATTCTGAGCCATGTCACCAAGAGTCTCCAACCATTGGTTATGATAGGCACGCGGACCCCAACCAAGTAGTCTGCATCTATCAACATGGCTCAAACCAGAAGTTACTGTCTTCAAGCACTGATGCCACGTTTTGGTTTGGCCGCCCCTAACTTTCTTCCAATTATCCCTAACACTGATTAGCATTGCGTGTCGTGGTAATCGGTGTTCAGGCATACACAACACATGGCCCAACCATCTCAGTCGATGAAGATTCATAACCTCATCAACTGATTTACTATCATTTCCTAATACCCTACGCCTAACCTCACTATTACTTACCCGGTGATCCCAGTAGATACCAGCAATATTTCTAAGGCATCTGTGGTCAAATACTTGTGGCTTACGAGTATCTTCAACTCTTTATTTATTTAAACACATAAACATTGGTTAAAGGAGGCAGAAAATAGATATGCGCCACATAAATTATTCGATTTATGTGAGGGTTGGGCCAAAGCACGGGTGTCCGAACCTAAGCAGGTGATTTTATTAAGAGGTCAATCAAAAGGTAGTGGAGCAATGTTAAAAGGTGTAGTCCCATGGTAACCGGTGACCAACAACAGGTTCATTTGTCATTTGTTCCATTAAGATCCTGGAGTACATGTGCATAATTGGTTTGGAATCAGGGTTTACTAACTCCCCGACGTGGATCCTTCGTATTTATTAACCCGGTTAAAGCGCCGGAAATTCGCTTTCCGTCCTCTCGATTTCGTAAACAACACGCCCATCACGAGAAGGTACTGAGTAGGACTACCCTGGCAGTGCTTGTATATGTGTGGTCATGTGAGAGCATTTAGAGAAGGAGAGCTGAGTCTCCCCACAATCGGCCGTACCAGGACATTTGGGGGCCCAATGAACATATTTTCAACTGTTAAATTAGGAACAAGGCTCTATTTAATTCAAGTCAGTCTAGATATTTAAAATATATAAATTCAGTTCATAAAAGATAGAGGTTTGCAAGGAATTGAATCTGATTGTCCATATTCAGTAGGATTATATTTTGTTGATGAAATTGAGAAGCGAATCGGATCAGTATCAAAGATCATGAAGATCTAGGACAGTAATTGCACATTACGAAGGACATTTGTTAGAGACCAGTTATACAGGAATTTTTCGTGAGTTTAATTAAATTTATTAGCTCTAAAAATCTTACAAGTAATACCAGAAATCCATGGCTAATGGATTAGTGCTGCCTGTAGAAAGAACTTTCAAACTTCATCCATTTGTAAGAAGATAGAATAAATAAATGTTGATTATCTGTTCGAAGAGCCTTACATTCACCATACCCTCGTACAATCGGAAATAAATAAATGCCGTCAGATATCAAACTCATTAGCACTCCTGATAGCATGGACCTAGAATAATGTTACAATAGACAAAGCCGATCACCAAATTAAGTTAAGAGCTACTGAGACAGAATTGCCTATCGGATAGCTGTCTTTTTATTTTAATTGAATGATGGAAAATTATGAATTTAACTTACTGCACAAATGACATGTTTACGATGTCCAACTAAATCTAAACTTGGTGACCAATTCGTTCGATCAATAAGTTTAGCAGTAGGAAATCCATTATTTATAGCATGAGGTGAAGCAAGAGTTGAACCATCTAAACTCCATGATAAACGCATAACTTGACTTTGTCCACTAGCCTAAAACGTAGTAATTTTTTTAAACAATTATGGTAATAACAATAATACGTGTTTAAACAATCATTTGACAAATGATTATATGAATTGCAACTTATTATGAACGGTAACATTAAGGGTAAAGTATCGAGTAAAACATAGAAAGTTATTATTATTGAAAGAAACATCATCATCATCTAACTTGAATGTGTGAATGTACCATCATAATAAATGCTTATTTATTTATTTATTATTTATTTTAACACATAAATATTTTTTCAAGAAGGCACCAAATACATATGCGCCACATAGATCTCACTTGATATGTGTGAGGGATTTGATACTGCCCAGGTGCCTAAACCGAACCAGGTGGTTTTCTTAGGGGGCCACACCCCGAGCCTTTGACCTGAAGATCTGATCCATAAGGCAATGGAACATCGTAAGGAGATGCAGTCCAGTTCCATGGTAGCCGGTGACCAACGACTGGTTCATACTCCATTTGTTCCTTCAAGATACTGGAGCTCATGTGCACCATTGGTTTGGGATCCGGTTAAAGCACCGGACATTCGCTTTTCGTCCTGTCATTTTCATAAACAACACCTGTGGCTCGAGAAGGCAGTGAGTAAGACTTCCCTGGCAGGGGCTGTATACGCGTGGCCATGTGAGAGCATTTCGAGAGAGAGAGAGAGAGTGGACTCTCCCCACTCTCGGCCGTACCAGGGCATTTGGGGGCAATAAATGCTAAAAAGTAGGAACCACTTATTTAGGGCTCGGCTAGAAACTGATCTTGGATCGTAAAACATCAACAATAACAACAACAACAACAAAAATAAGATAATTTAAATACAGAAACAAACAAATTGTCTTACTACTTGTAATATGTATTCGCCTACGGTATAATGATAGATTAAGATTTAGACAATATTTGTTAATGAAAGAGAGGCCGATTGTGTTTAGATGGTGAAATGAATGTTCATTAGCCAATAGAGTTTACGACTTATCTTGCATCAAGCCATAACACAGTTCACATTTCCAATTTCTACTCGCAGTCACAAGAAGTATTCTCGATGTCCAGCAATATTTTTTTGTGTGATGAGCTCTCGAAAATCTTTCAGAAAGTTTTCAGAAGCCACGAGAAGACTAAAAACATTAAGTCTAATCACCATCTAATGTAAACTTCTAGAAAAAACACCGGTTTTGTAACACACTGAATAATTATCTATTTTGTTACCCAAATTTAGCATCCTTCCAGGACATTAAAGTTATCCATAAATAACCTTGTTCTTTGTATATAAACAAAACTTGAATTAGAACTTCTGTTCTCATTTACAACGTCCTTAGCTCAACTTTAGGAAAACTCTGAAGAACGAATAAGTGAATAGGAAGTTATAATCAAGCGTTTGAGTACCAGACATTAATAAGTGTAGCTTATAAAATTAACATATCATTAACATTACCTTTGTAAATGGTTTACTGATACTAGCTTCTTCTTGCCAGTCTGCAGTACGCCATATTTTCACAGTTAAATCATCTCCTTGACTAGCTAAATAACGACCAACTGGATCCCAAGTAACACCTTTAACAAAACCTTTATGTCCACTTAAAGTTGCTTGTAAATAGAATGAATTGCTTGTATAACCTGAACCATTAGAAAGTTTTTGACGACACCAAACAATTACAGAATTATCAACACTGGTAGAAGCTAAACGATTTCCATCATGAGACCAAGATAAGTCAATAATATCTATAGAATAAGAGAAAGAAGAATTCCCAGTAGAATAATTCTATGAAAGAATAATATAAATATACACAAAAATCTAATCTATAGATAATTAAGAGTTTAATACAAATATTAACTTCGTTCTTTGTTTATTCCACTTGATATTTGATAGAAAGGGGTATATCAATAGTATCTTTCTTTTATACTGTTCTACTTGTGATCTGTTATATAATTAATCAGTTATTGTGTGTATCTTTTACTGTTCATACAGTACGGCCGAGAGTGTGGAGAGTCCGCTCACCCTCTCGAAATGTTCGCACATGGCCACGCGTATATAGCCTCTGCCACAAAAGTCCTACTCACTGCCTTCTCGTGGCGCGGGTATTGTTTACAAAATTGAGAGGACGAAAATCAAATATCCAGCGCTTTAACCGGGTTGGTGGACACGGAGAGTCCAACTAGGAGAGTTGGAAAACCCTGATTACAAACCAATGGTGCACATGAGCTCCAATATCCTGAAGGAACAAATGGCGTATGAACCAGTCGTTGGTCACCGGCTACCATGGGACTGCATCTCCTCACGATGCTCCACTGCCTTGTAAGTCAGACCTTTAGGTCGAAGGCTCCGGGTGTGGCTCCCTAAGAAAATCACCTGCTTCAGTTTGGGAACCTGGGTAGTATCACAGCCCTCGCACAAATCAAATGAGATTTGTGTGGAGCATATATATTTGGCGCCTCCTCATACAGTAAAATAAATTAATCATAGAACTGTTACATAGTTTAGTACTACAAATAACATGTAGTTATTGAGCTTTATTATTTATAGTGATCTATAGTCTTCTATTTTAGCCATACAGTCATGTGGTTTAAGTTTGAATCATAAGAGATAGATAACTAGTCTTCCTGGTAGATTGGAAACAAGTCAGATTTGAACGTGGTGCATTAATCGTTAGCATGTATATGATACTATTGTAATGAACAAGAACACAAATGGGGACAATCAAATATACTTTAACACAAAATTACAGAACATTTTTAGTAAAATGTGAGAACCGTAAAGTAAATACTTAATTTGCAAAATGTCAATCAATTGTCTCAAACTTGACTGTTCCTTTTGTAAATATCAGTCAATCGTCTTACACTTTATTGTTCTCTTGTTCCTACATCAATTATTCTTTGTTCTTGTTCTCTTTCTTCGATGTTCTTAGCCTTCTGCCTCCAGGCATTTCACTTTCGATTAGCGATACATGCTACTTGTATCTACCGACATCAGTAGTAGTACAATACAATATTAGTACCCAACTGTATAAATCGAAGCAGGTAAAGAATGATTTAAATTTGTGACATAATAATTGTAAGTTGAGTGACCAGATGACTAAGCCATTCTGTTTCGTAAGAATAAAACAGAAATTAGTAATAACGAAGAAAAGAAAACAGACAGTCTATCAATTCATTCTGATAATGAGGTTATGAATATTGCTTCTTTAAAAGTTATTTCATCTGACTCAGAAGAAAAAGCCCTAATCACTGAGAATAATATAAGTGATGTAAGATGATTAAATAATGATCTATAGTTTAATTTATTAAAAATCTCAGATGATTGGACCCGAAATAGATAAAAGATGTTAGAAATATCAATGCTGAATGTAGTCGTATCGTAGTGTGAGTTACTTATATCTACATATGTAGTATATAATGATGGTCAGATATAGAATGTATTTCAACGGAAAATCGAGAGGGAAAGGACAGAAACGAAGAGTGATTCGTATGATAATGCATGAACAATGAAATGTGAGACGATGAATTAATATTTGCAAAAGGAACAGTCAAGTTTGATACAATTGATTGATATATTGCAAATGAAGATTTTAGTGATATGTTCTGTACACTTTTCAATCGAGGATTTCATTCTTTCTTTAGGTACTGTACTTTATAAATTGGGTTTTTTACTGCCATAGTTTTTACTTATCTGTTGTTCATTTTATTTCCAACAGTTCAAGTGAGAATTATGGTAAGGTGAACTAATACACATTGTGTGATATTCTATTTACTTATGATTAATATACAAATGAAGTCATATACCACGTACAAATGTGTACACTTAGTTTCAGGCCACATAAAATGTGAAGATTAGTGATACCATCCAATTTTCTAGACCGAAATACGTGAAATGATAGTCGTACCTCCTACAAATTGGGTAAAAATCAAATGTTTCAATCACTAAACCATCGCTTTACATTGATTAGATTAAACCTATTATAAGATGACAAACTAAGAGATTAATTGCCTTTAAATCTTTCTGGCAAAAACAAGTGGAAATTTCACCTCAAAAAAAATAGTAGATAGGAATATGATGATTGAAAATAAGGATGGGGAAAATCAGAACATCTAAAGAAAGAAGGTGATAATTTTTATCAGGATTCAAATCGGTAAATCAAGCGTTTTTTTAGAACCATCACATTGAGTATTCGGTTCCAGGATTTTAATATCAACCACTCCCCCCCCCACTAGCTGTGCTACTTTACGCGACTGTGAAATGTGGCATTTAAATATGGTGAATACTAATAAACCACGATTAACCAAATAAAGACATGTTCGCGAAACTATAAGAGTGTAACTTAGTCCCTAAATGGAGACAGGAATGATTAAACACAATGTACTAGTTAGAAATATCACAAGCAACTATCCTCTGAGGTTGTCGTACTTGAAATACTTTGATACATTTATGAGATTGTTTGTCAATATAATCGCGGTTCAAAGTCCATTTAATAACACGGATATTGTAAAAGCTGAAAGTTAAGTATTTAGGCCAACTAAACAAGGTTTTTTGAGATGAAACTATGTTAAGATAAACAACTCACCACCACTGTGACCTCGAAGTGTTGATACGCAACGCCAATGTTCCGTAAACTTGGTAGGCTCTTTTGAACCGAATACCTGAACTGGACGAGATGTACCGCTGTAAACAAAATAATATTAACATGATCAGATTTGACAAGAACTCTCTACAACATGATCCATGTATAAAGTGATATAACATTACAGCTGAGGAGACAGTGAACAAAATCAATCATGTGAAAACGAAAACAGTGCATAATACAGGTTTAGCGTAATCTATCGGAAAATAATTTTTGACAACAAAGTAATGAATTAATTTACTAATAGAGCAATAAAAATATATTTTATTATCAGTGCTATCATTCTGAAGAATTGAATAAAATCATTTAAATTCATATTTGTATTATTTATTTGAATCTTCCTATTGATACTTAGGACTTCCACTGATCAATCTCTTACGGGGATATTTGCATCATATTCGGATTGCCTCGATATTGCCTTAAATTTCAAGCATTGTAAGCAGAGATAGGTAGTGTCCAACAGTGGAATCCAAGACGGGCGTCTCGTCCTGTTTGTGACTCGACGGTTGAGTGTACCCATATCCCAAACAGAACAAAATGCAAGTCCTGAATTCTATTGCTAGCCATCATCCATCTCTGCTTATAAGATTATTTTAGTCAGTGCCACTTTTTACTGAATATGCAAACAAAGACATTTTGTTTAATTATCCCTCTCAGTTAATTCTACGTCGTATAAAGAGAAAATTATAAGAACAATCAGGTATAATTACACTATCAACACTCCTTAGCAAATTTGAGGCAATTTATCCTTTTACTACTTTTTAGTAGTAGAATGTTTTTCTTTTAGGAGTTCGGTAAAAACATTCTGTCAAATATCTGAAAGCTAATTCATTAGTAGTTAGCTAGGAAATCATATACACAGAAAGACAGAGTTCATAGAAGTTATGGTATGGTGTAAACCCCTTCTTAAGTGACATTTTACAATCAGGGGAAGAGAATCGTGTCTTAAACATTTTTCAATTGTTAATCGTAAAATTTAGAAAACTGCTTAGTCTAAGTCGACAAGTGAATCACTTGGTGGAAGAATAATCCATTAAAAGTTGAGAGTAAAAAGAGTCACTTTCTAAAGGTTTTCTGTGAAAAAATTAAATAAAAGTGCAGAAAGTTGGCAGTCGTGATGAACACCACTTAACCCAAATAGTTGAGATAAGAGTTTGCCACACGCTCTGACTTGACCAGACATATACGAGTAGAAAGCCCTACAGAATTTCTTTAGACTGAAAATAAACAAGAAACTACAATTCAAATGCATACATAGAAATATAATAGAGTGAAGTCGAAGAACTACATTTAGACTTACGCTGTTTTCGACCATAACATAATAACTTTGTCCATTCCAGCAGACGCTAACCAACGACCAGATGGCGACCAACGAACACAGTTGACACAAGCTGTTCGAGAAAAAAAATTTGTTGTTGTAAAAAGCAAAGAAGCATATTAACCTAAGGTGTTTCAGTTGTAAATTTGTCGTTTATTGACGATTATATTCAATATGGGAACTGGTGGAAACATGTATCAATCCAAGTTACTGCACAATATTATAAAAGCGAGATAAGATTAACAGGGTGAATAACAAATCAGGTGAAGTAACAGAAGTGTCTCTGACTGCGAAAAAGATTAAACACAAGAAATACGTTCTTGAAAATAAAGGGTAAATTTAAAAAATGAAGTGATATTGATGATCAGAACTTTGGGAATTCAAGGATGAGCATAACTACACAGGTGTGACCAGTTCTGAGCAATGTTATCAAATGTCTCTAACCACTGATTGCAGTTATCGGGTGGAATGAAAAAAGTAGTTGAATCATTCAGTAGATGACTATAAAAATATTAATATAGTCAACAAATAAGCCAGTTATGGGTTACCTTACTCACTTTAACCAGTTTAGATAGCATTCTTATTCATTTAAACATAAACATTGGAACAAGAAGGCACTAAATATATATACACCACATTTAATTATTCGATTTCTGTGAGAGCTCGGACACTGGCCGGACGCCCAAAGCGCAACAAATGGTTTCTTAGGGGCAACACCTGGGGCCTCTGACCTAAAGGTCTAATCCACCAGGCAGTGGAGCAACGTTAGGAAGTGTAGTGAATAGGACTTTCTTGACAATGGCTGTATAAGCGTGGCCATGTGAGAGCATTTCGAGAGGGGGAGCTGACTCTCCCCACCCTCGGCCGTACCAGGGCATTTAGCCGCTTTAAAAAGGGTTCACGCTGCACATTTAACAACTACCGGGGGATAAGTCTACTTCCGATTGTATCCAAACTATTGGCTTCCGTCAAACTTCATAAATTGTTCGAAACCCGAGAAAGATTGAGTCGCGAAGAGCAGACTAGTTTTCGTTCTAGTTGAGGACGTATTGATCATATTATCACCCACTCCCAAATGTTAGAACATCGTTATAATTATTACAGGCCAACAATCTAGCTGGTGTCAGTTCGTGATGAAAAACCTAAATATAATTCCTAACCCTAACCATCAACTTTAAATCATAACCTTAATTTCTCATGCTGGTTTATAACCCTCATTCAGTTCTAGTGAGTAAACGGACGTTCGCAAGGCCACTCCGACGTCGCTCAAAAGTCGTCCATAAATTATAGTCTTACCGGAATATATCTCAATCCAAGATGTTTGGAAGATGCACTAAATATATTTATTGGTACACGGAGGAAACAAATATGTATGCACCACACTCTAACATTCGATTTGTATGAGGGATGGAATACTGCCTGGGTGTCCAAACTGAAGCAGGAAAAACTTATTGCCATTACATATTCGAGGAAATGTTCACCCTTAGGAAGGAGCCAGTTGACAATGAACGAACGAAATACTAAGAATTATTTCAAATTAATTATAGTGATAAAAGTATTTTAGTTATAGCCTCACCTTGATGACTGTCCATCTGAAAAAGCTTGAGACAAGAGTTACCACTCGACTCTAAAGTTGGATCTCGAATAGGAGCCATGTTCCACAAAACAACAACTCCACATGTGTCGATTACCCCACCAGTGGCTAAACGTGAGCCATCAGGATGTATATCTAAACTATATATAGGTCGACCTGAAGCGGACATACAAAACTGATGAAAACTTACCAACAGCTTTGTCCTTTGACAGAAATCCATGAGACACCCAGGTCGGTTTGAGCAACCTCATGAAGAAACTGTAATTGGTTTGAAAAAGATAAATGAACTTATATGATAAGCAATATATCAATCAGAAAGAGACCTACCAAATATGCTAAAAGCACTAAACACCTGTTTTATTTAAGAAAACTTGAAAACAATCTAGAATGCTCCTTTTACTTCTTTTTGATAAGGTCAACCGATGTAATGTTACCCATTTTTGCAATGATGACCAACATTCTTGATTAGTTCTTGATTCTTAAGAATGCATGATGTGGGATGAGTTCACTCCTGGTATCAACTATGACACCTAATTCAAACATCAATTACTCATTATATTTGCAGTCTAAAAAATACTCATGTTCAGCTATGAGTAAGACTGTAATGTGTCTAACACCGATGTTGTTCATAAATGGAATATTGTTTAGAGCAACAATAAAATTTACTGATCATCTTTAATTTTTAATCGAGAACATAAATCGATCAATTTTAGACCACCACTGAAGACCTGGAAGCACTGGACGGCCATATCATCCTAGTATAAGACTCAGCAGTGCACATCCACGATCCCGCACGCGAGATTAGATTCACGATCTCGATTGAAACTCAACGATCTCTACAACCCATACTGTTAATCTTTAATTTTGACTGTACCACCGTGATTGATTTGATATGCTTTACCTTGTCTGAAACCATTAGTCAGGATTCCCTCATGGAATGCAACCAGAATGTTTGAACCTCTGGACATAGTTCAATCAAACTGTCAGGTATTGATACGGCTATCTGTAATATTCTGACCGGATCCCACACCAACCATTGTAGTTAACTGCAATAGCTGGGATCTATGTATGATTAACACTTCAGAGCCACACAAACTAATCAGTATGCATGACCTTATTAAACAACAGTCTAGTCATGTCACTGTTTGTGCGTAACACTAGCACTACTTACTGTATTTTAGAAAGGCTTTGATTACACTGAGATCCAGAACATCAATAGATTGTGCATAAAATTTAAATTAACAAAAATTATCCAGCCAAATTAACGAGGAATGACAAAAGCTTGAGCCTATGGATTATACATTAAAATAGGATTTGAATTTATTGTCATGTATTAGAAATACCTGTCAAAGTTAGGCTCTTCAGAATTAACTTTATTTAGAGTGATAAGATCTCATTATTTATAACGTAATACTATTTCCTAGAGTTGAAAGTCTTTTATTTAGCCAAAAAAAGAGTAGATGTTTTCATCGAAGGTAGAATCTGGAATTCAGTCAGTCAGTAACAACGTAGAACTTCGTACGTACGTACATCAGTTCGAGTTGCCATACCACATTAGCACAGAGATTCAGTTATCGATTCAAATCCCATAGTGGTAGAGGTGCTGAAAGTATAAGTAGAGATAGGGGACATGAAGGTTTGATGATGTTATTAAAGGAGTATAGTCCAGTGGAATAAATTGGGAAAGAAAATAAAGGACATGAAGAATTCAGAAGATTAGAGTTTGAGAGAACACAAAGAGTGGATGCACCTGCGCCATTGCAAACGATTTTGAGCCATGTCATTCAAGGTCTCTAACCATCGGTTGCTATCCGGAATTATAGAGCTGAAAATCTTCGTACCACCGAAAATATTTTTATTGTCAGCAGTGCAATCAAAAATGGGATGAGTTAACTGTGAATGTCTAAAATGGAACTTGATGATACCCGTACATAATTACGTACTGAAACATGCCCGGAACACAGTCGGTATTTCTAGTTATGCTTTAAGCGCAACAAAGACTACTCGAGTCGACAGTAAAGGGAAAATATGTAGGCATCATGATTTCAGACGAGTACTGGCCCATTAAAATTCTACACAAAAAATGTTTGATGTTTGACTAATCATACATGTGGGAAACCCAGTAAAAACGTGAAATTCCAAGGAATTGCAAAGAGCTACGTCAACCAGTGAACAACAACAGTGAAGACTACCTGTAAACTATCAAAGCAACTTGAACTACCTTGTAAGTTTTATTTAACATGACTGAAAACATGGTACATGACGGAAGGCCGAAGGGACAAAGTCATACGAATAGAGCATAGATCAGACTTACCTATAAAACCAATTATAATCAAAGACAATTTAGAAAATACAATACACTAATGTACTAAGAGACAGATGTTTTTGATATGAAAAGAAACCAGTGTGACCTAAATACTCTACAGATACCACATGTTAAGTAGACATTAGAATTACTGCGACTTCAACGTGAACGACCTTCAAGTCAAATTAACGGCGACCTTGTGAATAGTTAACGTGCCCAATTTCAGGTTAGAGAATCAGATTTGTAAGTAAGGACCTACTCCCTATGTTAAATCTTATCTAAATCGCTTCTGTGAGTGTCCAGTCTTCTCTTGAATGAGTAAATTGAAAGTGCGGGTAACAGGTTTCAAGTATTGATGACTCTGTATGAAAATCTGGATGCCTCGGGCATTTTGTTCATTCTTGGCTTTTCTACTCGCCTGCTATGTCCTCCGAGATTTCCTTATCTCGTGGGAAAAAATTTTAATTATACACGTGCTCCTTACCGATCTCTAGCGTTCCATCGTACCTACTATGCCAAGGCTGGTAGAAAAGTTCCAACATTTCTTCTTTTATCTTAGTAAACGTCGAATATCCTGGTCTATCCATGAATGGCCAGGCTTTTTCTTCTTTTACTGTCCGTGGTATGTGTAGCTGAGTTACATGATTATATAAGTGTCCACATCTCTTGTACTGATGCCATCGAGTCAATTTCCTACGTTTCAACCGGCACTGCAGATTTGATTGCCTCCACATCTGCCTTTCATATATTAGGACGAGCCGGTGCAATCCTAGCCATAAATTCGAATAATATGACTGCATGGTCACTTCTCCCTATTGGTAGGAGGAAAGTCATCTAACCGACGTCATTACAGTGTAAAGACTAAATCCAAAAGAGAAGAGGAGCTTCTTAAGTCATATCTTGTGGGATTTCTAATGTGTTGGAATAAAGCTAATGCAATCGAGGTTTCTAATAGTTTTCAATTGAATGACGTTATTAACGACACTAATTCTAAGTTTACCCAGTTTATTTACGGTGCATTAAAGTCGCCTACTATAAGACTTTTACCCCTGTTACACCAGGACTTAAGGTTGCTTAGAACGAAATCATCTACTACACTTTCTGGACTGCGATATACTACAACTAATTTACTATCTAACTTTCAAGAGACGGCTTTTCTGATTACTTTCAGAATCCACCTTTTGTTCTATTCTATAAAGGTTACAGATGCTAACTCTTGAAAATGTTTCTGGCAGTAGCTTGCTTATTAAGGACTTAATATGACTGAGGTCGTGCTCAAATCTAGCCTTTAGTTCCTTATCGGAAGATTCTCTTAATTTATGAAAGATGACAGACCTCTCAGAGAGGTCCGTCTTGACATGCAGTGCAATTTTAGTTCCTGAAATCGTCTCTTCTTTACAAACCGATTTCAATTCAGCATCAAATGCAGAGGTTACGTTCTATTTTCTTTTTCTAGGTGTGACTGTGAGCCATTCATTTACCTTGATTTATCCCTTGATCACTTCCTCTACACTGCTCAGAATTGGCTCGCCTATAGTTTGCATTGCATTGACGTGTGAATCCAGAACTGAACCCGCAGATTCACACGCCTCAGTACTATCTACAGATAGTTCCTTCTTCTCAGTGCGCTTCTACTTTCTCCTTGTACCAATGCTTACGTCTGTATGCTTATCTGCTTGCCTAATGGGGTCCACCCTCACTTATATTTAAGTCTAGAGCTGGGCTTATAATAACGCTCTCAATGTCCTCAAAATCTGACTTTTCTTCATCTGCTGCCACCTGTTTATCAGAGGGCAATTTTCGAGCTATGCTTGACAGCTCGAACGCATGTAGAATCAGCAGAGGCTTAGTAGAACAACATCGTTTACACAATTAATGTGATAGTGGCTTGTAGCACTGTTTATATGCTTACTTACTTAGGCCTGTTACTCCCAATGAAGCATAGGCCGCGGAACAGCATTCTCCAACCCACTCTGTCCTGGGCCTTCTTTTCTAGTTCCATCCAATTCTTGTTCATTTTTCTCATATCTATCTCCATTTCCAGGCCTAATGTATTCTTTGGTCTTCCTCTCCTCCTTCAACCTTGAGGATTCCATATGAGGGCTTGTCTTGTAACGCAGTTGGGTGTTTTCCTCAATGTGTGTCCAATCCACTTCCAGCGCTTCTTCCTGATTTCTTCCTCCACTGGGATCTGATTTGTTCTCTCACACAGTAGGTTGTTGCTTATAGTGTCCGGCCAGTGGATCTGAAGTATTTTGCGTAGACAACTGTTAATAAACACCTGTATCTTTTGGACGATGGATTTCGTAGTTTTCCAGGTTTCCGCGCCATACAGTAGAACTGTCTTCACATTTGTATTGAAAATTCTGACTTTGGTGTTGGTTGCCAATTGTTTTGAGTTCCAGATATTCTTCAGTTGTAAATATACTGCTCTTGCTTTGCCAATCCGTGCCTTCACATCTGCATCAGATCCACCGTGTCCATCGATGATACTGCCCAAATATGTAAAGGTTTGTACATCTTCCAAATCTTTTCCGTCAAGTGTGACTGGATTGTTACATGCTGTGTTGTATCGAAGAATCTCGCTTTTCCCTTTGTGTATATTGAGACCTATTGCTGCTGAGGCTGCAGCTACACTGGTTGTCTTCTCCTGCATTTGTTGTTGCGTATGCGATAGAAGAGCCAGATCATCTGCGAAGTCTAGATCATCCAATTGCATCCTAGATGTCCACTGTATCCCGTGCTTCCCTTCAGATGTCGATGTCTTCATGATCCAGTCGATCATCACGAGAAAGAGAAAGGGTGAGAGTAAGCAACCTTGCCTGACACCGGTCTTTACTTCGAACGACTTTGTCAACTGTCCTCCATGCACGATTTTGCAGTTTAATCCATCATAGGAATTCTGTATGATATTGACTATTTTCTCAGTCACGCCGTAGTGTCGAA